CAGGGTTTGACTGGGTTGCTGTTAAGGAACTTAAATAAAGTTACTATATTGGGGAAACCCTATTATTTACTATATATACCCATTATGGTAACTTAATTTAAGTTCCTTAACAGCAACCCAGTTGAAGGTGGTGTATTGAGAGACAAATAGGGGCCTCAAAACTCGGTTTTTGGATCGGGCTGCAGGGCTAAGGATTGCAGGATGGTTAGTGCTTGAGTCTTTGGTTTAGGGCCGTGTATGGCTCCGGTTCAGAATTTCAGTGGGCATGTGGGTCCTGAGATAGGACCAGGTCAGTACCTGTTTAATGCTGGCTCCACAGGTACAATACCCTAAACCCTAAACCCAAAACCCAAAACCCTAAACCCTAAACCCTAAACCCAAAACCCTATAGATATTCTCCCTTATTCTGGATACCGCCAGAAAGGAACCCAAGATGCTGACACCAAGGGCGTCTTTAGCTATTGCGGTGGTCCCTGTTTAAAGGTATATGGGGGGATATAGGGACATACTGGGTATATATATATATATGTATATATAGGGGTTATGTAGGGATATTGGAAAAGAAAATGGAACCTACTATATGAGCTAGGTGCTACAATTAGCTGGGTTTAGGGTCCAGAGTTCGGGGAATAAAGTATGCTTCGTCCTTGTTGTGTAGGATGCACGAGTTTGCAGTTGTTGCAAGGCCCTTAAAGGTATGGCCTGGATGCGGGGATAAATTTGGATACTGTGAACCCTTAAACCCTAAGACCCACTGAAACCTCAAGCCAACAGAGCTTTTGCGGAAACATCCGCCAAGCCTCACCTATAACTCAGTATCTAAGACATAGGATTTCAGATCTGGGGTTTAGGGTAGTGGCATTATCACTCTTGAGGCTTAGTTGGACATTGTGGGGCTAGCAGCTGGCAATGTCGGGTTTTGGGTACTGGGAGACTCGTTGGGAAAGGTCCCTAACTTATGATCATCAGTTACATGTTTCAGCACTTCTCGTAACACACCAGAACAACGGAACATGTATGTCAATGCCTGTGTAAAGGTATATTCTAAGGGTCTGCAGAGGCGGTAGGATAGGTACTGCAAATCACAGCAGGCTTTAGGGTCTAGGGTTGAGGCTTTAGGTCTAGCACTCCCCGCGGGTTGGTATGGTGTTATAAATGCGGCTGGGCAGTTTTGGGCAGGTTCCTTGGTGTTGCTTCGGATATTCCTATGCATCCAAACACAGGGTTTAGGGTTTAGGGAGCCGGAACCCCAATGCCATCTTTATGTCGCAGCCAGAGCAATCCTGGGAGTTCCTCCCATTGAGCTATAGTCTAAACTCCTTACAGAGGGTTTGCCTAGGCGATTATGGAATAAAGGGTTTAGGCGGTTTAGGGTTTGGGGTCTAAACTCCTTTAAACGGGTTATACAGCGGAGCTTTATAGGGGTTATTCAGGACAATACTAGGGTTTTAGACCCTGAGACCTACACTTATTTGAATCCTTATGGCCGTTGTGACGCTTCTCGAGGCTCCGGAAACGGGCATGTTCAATGTCAGAAGCAAATATAAGTATGGGACAAAGGGGACACGAGCAGGTGGCGAGCCCAGGAAGAACGGGTGAACATGTTAAATGCAAAAGGGTGGGGTGATACCAAACACGTGTGGTCATGTAAGCAGCCTTGCTGGTCCAGCCCTAGCTGATCGAGAACTCCAAACCCTCAACCCTAGATCCTCGAAGTTTTTGAGTGGGATACTAGGACTTTAGACTATAGCTCAATTAACAACTCACATAAGCCTCTTACAACTTATAAAGTCTATATGAGCCACTGTCAAGACACACACTTCTTAACCAGGATCCCATGTCTATTGATGACATGGGAAGTGCTATCCCTTAGCCCTTTTATCCCGAGGGTGCGTTTAGGGGCCCTCTTAGCGAAAAGACGTTGCAAAGCGAGCAATACACACGCCTCGACACCTCGTGGGCCCCGTGCAGGGTTGTCTTTAGAAGCCTCACTTATCATATGAAGCAAAAAAAATCTCATGGTAACTTGGTCTCAAGTTCCTCAATCAATCCCCTATATAACCGCTAGATAATTCCAGTTTCCACTTGATTTTCGTGCTTTCTTCTAAGCCCTGAGCCCTAGAATCCCTAAGGGCCTCTTTTGATAAGCCCCCATCTCCCAACACCCTGAACCCTAAACCCCAAACCCTAATTCTAAACCTTAAATCCTACACCCTAAACGCAAAACCCTAAATCTTAAACCCTAAACCCAAAACCCTAAATCCTAAACCCTAAACCCTAAACCTCAAACTCTAAATCGTAAACGGCAGGTGTCGGCCATGGATGAGTTGAAAGAGCAGGTGGCAGGGGCTTGAGGGTTTAGGGGTTCGGGCTGAGGGTGCAGGTTTCGGGGGATTGGGGTTTTAGGGTTTAGGGTGTAGATTTTGGGGATCCGGGTTGGCGTTTTAGTTGGGGTTTAGGGCTAAGGGTTCAGGTTTTGGGGATTGAGGTTTGAGGTTGAGAGTTTAGGAGTCAAGGGTTTGGGACTCAGGGACAAAATTCAAGGGCCTGACCCGACTTCACCCCGCATGTGAGATGGAAACTAGTTCCACATGCGCCTCATTTCAGGTTTTGAGTTTGTTCTTTAAAGCAGCCCGCTCTACACTCACCCCAAGCTAGGATAAGTAGTATTTTCGACGGGATATCTCAACACCAAATATGGAGTAAGATCATGCCCTCTTTTTGGGCATAGTAGTTTTACCCAAGAAAGCATGTTTTGGGTTCAGTCACCACAACACCACTACTCAAGTAAACGCCAATGTAGACCCCTTTATCTACGGACAATAGTCTTCACAAGGGTCGTTTCTGAGGGTTCCACGGTTCCAGGCTAGCTTGCGGCTCCTGAAGAGAAACATTCTTAGCCCCGATGTGTGCCAGATTTTGCAATGCCAACCCTGAACCCTAAACCTTAAACCCTAAATGCCAAGCCCTAAGCCCTAAACCCTATACCTTAAACCCTAAGCCTTAAGCCCAAACCCCCAAATCCTAAACCCTAAACCCTAAAACGCGACCGTTCTTGCTACCAAAGCCTGAGGCACGGACCCTAAACTGAAAACCCGAGTAGTACTCCTACCACTCTTACTAGTACCAGGACCATCATTGTAGTCGTTAGTGATACTGTTGATGGATGGAATCTTGCACCACCTTAAGT